AAAAATGATTGGTTAATTTCTTATGATTATTATTTACAAATGCCCCGATTTACAATTACCCCATTTGACCCTATTTTGCTATCATATTTTAGGTATTCTGTCTGTTGTATAATAAAGAACAAAAATTAATGAGTTAGTTAATAAATCAGAAAATTACAAATTAATATTTTGTCAGTAGAATAGAATATAAGTATAAGCTGTAAATAATTGTATAGGTACTATGTTTTAGGAAAGTATTGTTGGGGTGTGTGTATGTACCTATATGAGTGTGTATAAAATGCACAAGTATTTAACAATATTATAAAGATAATATTTTATATTATTAAAGATACCATTAAGATAAAAAAAGGTACCTACAGATTATGTTGTTCATTTATTCATTACATAGGACTTATTTAGACTGTCTAGAGTTCTAGACTCTAGATAATACAGGAACACATGCATCATTTTGTTATAGTTAATAATAATATAGGTATTACCTAGTGAGTAGTGGCTATAGTTATTATTTAGTTGACCATCTACCTATTTAGTTGTGACACAGTGTAGACGTCTAGAAAACATCGGTTTTAAAGCATTAAAGTTTTTGTGATTAATTATGGAAATAATAGAATCAAATAAAGGCAAAGACAAATTAGCGTTCAATGGCTATATGTACGTAATGAAGCACGCAGGAAAAAATTATTACACATGGAGATGTAATAAAAAGAGTTCTCTAAACTGTCCAGCTATTCTCCACACCTCAATAAATAAAACAGACCCCATTCTCAAAGTTCAACATGAGCACCCTGATGAACAATCAAAAATCGGGATTGCAAAAGCCATAAACAAAATTAAATAGAATGCTAAGTGTTCTGGAGCTAATCCGTCGCAGATGTATGCTGAAGCGGTATCACAATTAAATGTCTACACTAAAGCAAGGCTGCCGGTCGAAAATTCATTAAAACGAACCATAAGAAATTACAGAAAAAAGAAAAATCCTATCGATCCAGCTTCACTAGAAGAACTTCAGATTTTGGTAAKTCCACTGACATTTATAAGTGAAATTTAATTTAAAAAAAACTTATTCAAATTAATCAAATGTTTACGAAATCGCGTTACGATGACGATTTATCTTCACACGAAATTAAATATTTGTTATATGTAATTCAAAATATAAAATAAGTCGTAGATACTTCAAAATTTCATCAACTATTTAGATTGGCATTTTCTTTACATGATTTAATTTTCAAAATATTTCACTTATTTTAATGCTATTTATAGGCATTTGAAATGCAATTACTTATTAATTTTTTTAATGTATGTTTAGGGCGAGTGGTGTTATACAGGAGGACTACAGAAAAAACTACTCTTACTTGATGATAACAGGTTAGAAGGAAATGAGAGAATAATTATGTTTGCAACACATGAAGGGCTTGTCAATTTAACAAAGTCTTTGAGATGGTATATGGATGGAAACTTTGCTTTGGCTCCCAAATTGTTTTCTCAACTATATGTTATACGTGTAGAAATAAATAACAATTTTACAACAGCAGTATACATTCTTCTACAGAATAAAACGTTAACAACTTATGAGATGATGCTTACTACACTTTTAAAAAAATGCGAAGAACAAAATTTATATCCTGATCCTGCGGTTGTACATGTTGATTTTGAACGTGCAGTAATTACAGCTATCACACATGTTCTTGGTCAACATGTACATATTCAGGGTTGTTTCTACCATTTGACACAATCAACATATCGAAAAGTACAAGAATTAGGGCTGCAGACACAGTATAGAGAAAACCAAAATTTAATTGAATTTTTTGGAAAAATGGATGGTTTGGCATTCTTACCCATAGGAGACGTTAAAGATGGTATGGCATATTTAAAAAACATTGTTCCTGAGGAGGCTGAATCTTTATTAAATTATTTTGATGAAACATATTGTAAATGGCAAGTATAGGCAAGTTAAAAATAATAAAATAGTTTTAAGAAATTGTCCACCTATTTTTCCACCAAATTTATGGAACGTAAATGAATCGACTTTAAATGACGAAGAACGAACAAACAATTCTACAGAAGGTTGGAACCTCAGGTTCAGTRAATTAKTAGSACAAACACATCCAACAATATGGACTATTATAAATAAAATAAGGTTAGAAGTGGCATCYGATGAAACTAAGCTGGCCCAAATTGAATTAGGTGTACCCCAACAGAAGCGACAAAACACGGTGTATAAAAAATTACAAATCCAATTAAAAAAGTTATGTGAAGATTA